CAAAAAAACTAAGATCATGCCCACTGGTCCCATCATCTCCTGGGAAATTGAAGGGGAAGATATGGAGACATTGACAGATTTTACTTTCTTGGGCTCCATGATCACTGCAGATGGAGACAGCAGCCACGAAATTAAAAGACGCCTGCTACTTGATGTTAGGAAAGTGTGACGGCAAGAGGAGAAGGGGACGACAGAGGATGAGATGGCTGGACAGCGTCTGCGAAGCAACCAACATGACACAACTCCGGGAGGCAGTGGAAGACAGGAGGGCCTGCTGTGCTCTGGTCCATGGGGTCACGAAGAGTCGGACACGACTAAACGACAACGAACCCCAGAGGAGCCACATTCTACCATGGGGCCCAAGCTTCCCTATTCCTGGCTTAATCCATCTGTGAGCATTTCTGTCCTCTGTTTTCCAGCCAGACATCGTGATTCCTTTGGCAAGGAACAGAAGGTTCACTTCTTGGGCCCCAAGAGTACATGACAAGGCAGGCTGAGCAGCCCCCAGGCAGCTCTCACATGAGCACTGAGTATGAACATTACTGTTTGGCCAGCTTGTTTTCGGGCTTGGAAGAAACTTTTTCGAAAGCAGTGCGTACTCAGCTGCGCCGTCGTATGAAAAACTCAGGATAAAAAGACGGGAAAGAAACCGCCTCCCTCACTCCTCAGCAAATTCTCTTAGGGGGACTGAGTTGTCTGCTGGATAAACACACAAATCATTTGAAACGACCTATGCTGCCTTCTAGACTCCTGTTTCACTACAAGTGCCAGATTAGAGGTGACAGGGCAGCCCCATCCATCTAAACAAGACCATGCTGCAATCATGCACGAATAGAGGTGTGTGGGAGAGCAGGAATCCAATTCTGAAAAAAAAGGTAAATGGGTGAGTAGCACAGCAGTCTACCCACTTCCACGGTTCATCTTCCCAAAGGCAAACATCCTGAGTGTTTTTCTCCTCGGTTAATTTCTGACTGTCGGAATTGGGCTTGGCAAGGACCACCGCACTTGAGAGGAAAGACCAGCCCAGCCATGCTTGGGCCAATGGATCTGGGCTTCCGCTCTCGTCTCGTGGTCTTTTGTGGTTCTCATGGGCCCAAACAGCCAGCCCTTTGGGAGTGCTGAGCAGCCATGCCACTTGCAGCAGCTGACCCCACCTGCAGTGGGAGTGCTGAGCAGCCATGCCACTTGCAAACTCCAGAAACCTTTGGATGGGCAGAACAGGAGACCTGCTTTGCGCCTGATACCCTTGCTCTCCTCTCTTGTAGCACTCCCCCCCCCAAAAAAAAAGCTTCAAGGAAGCACAGCAGGGTTGTGTGCAGGACCACGAAAGTGCAGCGAGGCGAGTGGCGATATTTAAGGGAAGAGGAAAGAAGGACAGTGCAGGTAAGCCGAAGAAGAATGGAAAGACTTCACAAGCTGTAATACCCAATGTGGTGGTGTGGACAGAGCGGTGGACAAGGAGATCAAGGCCCGTCTCCCCCACTCAGCTGGGAAAACTCACAGGAAGAAGAGACGAAGCAGGTAAAGCTTTTTCTCCCTACATCTCTCACTTGCCTCGAAAACACTTTTGGAGTCACTATGAATCCGTTCCGAGTTGACAGCACACATAAAATCTATTATTATTCCCTGAAATTATGAAAACGGAGCTGTGGGGGACGGAGGATGACCTATAGGGCACTTCCCTCTGGATGCCTGGGTTTTAAAATGGTTGGGGGGGGTCTTCTTCTCCCTCTCATCGCCCTCACAGGTGCCTTTGGGGTGAATGTGAGAGAGGCCCCTCTCTGTTGCTGCTGCCACCCCCCTCTGGGGGAGCCCCCTGCCCCAGGAGGGCAGGCTGGGCCCCCTTTTCTCTGTCCTCCTGCAGGTAGGCAAAGGCCCTTTCTCTTCAGGCAGGCTTTTTCTCCGTGACGCGTTGGCTAAGAGTCAGGCGGCTGTTGCTCATTCACGGGTTCGGTTTTCTCCTGTCCAGTTTTTATATTGCTTGTTTTTAATACGGTAAGCCACGTTTGGTCCTCTTGAGAAGAAAGATGGGGCACCAACAGACAGACAAACAAACCTTCACCAGCAGTTGCAGCAATTATCAAAAACTATTTTAGCAGTTTGGGAGAGGCGAGCCAATACAGGATTTCAAAGACTCCACCTGTCAAGCTAACACTGCACTGCCCTTTAGAAAGCCCCCCCCCAAATCCTGTACCATGGAGGAGACCCCCTTCCCCCTTCTATGTAGCACCCGGCTTTCGTCTTTCTGCTGCCTGACCTGCAATAATGAACTCCGTCCTTTGAACCCAAGCAAAAGTAAAAGAAGAAAGGAATAAGTGAACATACTATCTGGAGCATCATCTTCTCCGGCTTGTTCAGATACCTCATCATACATTTCCTGCATGCCCTCGCTTCTCCCAGGGGCGTGAACAAACTAGATGCGCAATGAATCCAAACACAAGGTCAGAAGGAAATGGAAAAGATCTGATAAAGGAAGCGTGGCACATGCTGTGTGTATGCCTCACTCGGCTCCATCAGGTCTCCTCGGGAAGCTTCTCAAATTGGCTGATCTAAAAGCTCTAGTGTATGCATATGCTCAATTATTAACACCCCTGCTGAGCCAGGGGTGTTAAAAAGGAAGCGCTTCTCCTTTGGAAACAGGTTACAAAGCAGAGGAAAGAGACAGAGGCAGGGTAGGCCACCGTTCAACCCTGCTACTCTACCAGGTTGCTAGGGACCAGTGTAGGCTCTGACGTTTGAGCTGTCAAGAAGAAGTGTACCCAAAGGCACTGCTAGGAACCAGTGTAGGCTCTGAAGCTGGCTTTGGTGGGGTGGAGAGAGAGAGGGTGGCAGGAAAAAGTGCTTGTTTTTCCTTAAGGCATTTCTTACACTCCAGGATCAACCTTTCCCAAGACCGCTGGGGGCTGCTAATGCAAAGGTGCCCTTCGTGGAAAACAACTGGTGAACAGAACCGGAGGCTCAGCACAGAGTTTCTGAGGGTCCAGCTGGAAATGGTGTGTATTTAAACCAGGAGTTTAAATGCACATTTAAGGTCCAGGGGCTGCACAAGCCCGTGCTGGTAGCTCAAGGGTAACCTCCAAACACCCCTTACAAAAAGCTGCCCTTTGCTATCTAGTGCCAATGGGAAATTCCCTTCCCTCTGTGCTGCTTTAGACCCAAGAGCTGGCGTGCACACACACACACACACACGGCAACTGGAAACCAGAAGCGATCAGAAATTATTTAGGGAAGAATCAACCACGGCAAGTAGCAGTACCTTGCATCAACATCTCCATGGCCGTATGCTGCTTCATTAGCTGCCTGTCTTCCATTTCACTGTCAGACCCTTCATCCTCATGGATCTCCAGGTCTGAGTCGTCATTACCTAGATTTTTTTAAAAAGACAAGAACACGCAGAGGAGTTAATGACTATCATCAAAATGTGCTCAGGTTTTCAGCTCCATCCACCTGTGCTCCTTTGCTGCAATTTAAAGAGCAATTTTGAGCTGACGGGAAGAGGGGAGCCCAACCCTGTTGACAGTTAAGTACATGCTTTTGCACATGGAAAGCTCTCCCCCCCGCACACATCCAGGTACAATGAGCTCAGCACAGAGGCCTGGAAAAGAATCTCGCCTGAAGGCCTGGATGGGCTGCCATCACTTGTCCTGCGCTAGACTCATCAAGGGCCTCAAGGGTCAGGATAAAACGGATTCCTTCAAAGGTACCAACCCTTGCTTACCTTTTATAGGTCAGGAAACTGGACCCCAACAGAAGAGCGGGATAAAGCTTCCCTGGCTTCATCACGGCCATACTTTTCTCCCACTTCCAAGGGTGAATAGGAATGAGGAACCATCTTTCCACCTGAGGGTTCAGCTGGCTCTGGAGAGGCCTGTTGGGGGCCCCCCTCCCATGCCCGGCTCTGCCATTCTGTCATTGAAAGGGACCCTTTATTCTCTCTCTCTCTCACCCACACAGTTACATGTTTGGGGTGGCAGGAGGTGTAGAGGGGAGCTGAATCCCCAGCCCCTCTCGCTCTCCAGCCAGAGACCTAAACCACAGACGTCTCCCACTAGTAAGTCCTCCTTTGTACCAGACAGAATTCCCTCTCGTCAGTCTTGGGCCAAGGTCCTTTCCAAACAGATGTCTCCCACCAGTAAGTCCTCCTTTCTTTGCATCAGACAGAATTCCCTCCCGTCAGTCTTGGGCCAAGGTCCTTTCCAAAGGATGGGCAGAGACTTCCAAAACTATGCAGCACTTTGTACCGCTGAAATTGTTCTCTGCTTTCTTGTGGTTTCCTGGATTCTCCAGCTGCTGCATTTGGGAGGGAGCACCTACCTACCTATTCACCTCTGCTGTCTCTTGCCAAAGTAAAGCCGTCTGAGTGGCCCACCTTCTAAAGGATGACCCAACGGTTCTTTTGAGGAAGACACCTCGGTGCCAGAGCAGACACAATAAGAGTTGATGGGGGGGGGAGGAGAGAACTGGGGCTTTCCAGGTGACTTTGGCCCACAACTGCCATCATCCTGAGTCAACATAGCCAGTGGTGAGGGATTATGGGAAATGCAGTACCATGACACCAAGAGGCCTACAAGGACATGGCTCTTCAATAGGTCCATGATTACACCTCCATGTGTCTGTCTGGGCACACTTGCTTCTTTCTTCCCCTTAAAAGCTGTTGCAAGAAGGGTTAAGTGCCATGCAGTCTGGATTGGGTCAAAACAGGTGTTCTTAACCACCATTTCCTTCCCACTTCCCTCTTCAGTACATCATCCCCCAGCAGTTATCACCCCTGAGGGGCAGGCGAGGCATGACACAGGTATAAGGATTTCCCCCCAGCAGAGCTAAGAGTAAATTCTGAAACCCAGAGGAAGAGCCTTCTCTCCTGCTATCTAAGTCTAATCTCCCTCCAAACTGCTTTTAAGCTTTTAACAAAGAGGTGATCTGTCATGGCCCCCTCCCTCGACGTCACACCTGTTTAGAGCTTCTTGCTGCTACTTGTCACACATAATCAGAGTGTTTGAATCTTACTGACTTCAGTGTCATTTAAGCAGCCTACTTGCGCATAGCACGACAGCCCAAATATGCAGCAAGCTCCGTTAACACAGTGTACACGTTGTTGTATATCCACATACGCATTCACACATAAGCAGAAACAGGTGATCTAGCACAGACTCCCTTGCTTTAATGATTTCAGAACTCCTACTTCTAACAATCTGATTCAACACAGCAGGAAGTTCAGGAGAGAGGCTGTTTCCAGTCACCTGATCATCCTTGTTGTCCTCCTCTGTACTTGCTCCAGTTTGTTGGCATTCTTCTTAAAGCTGTTTCAAGCTAATAGGCATTTAAAAGTGAGAGACACCTTTTTGTGACCCAGCCCCAGCTTAGTGACCCAGTTTAGGATCCTTAATACACCCCAGAACATTTCCTAAATAAGGGATGCCTTGGTCTCTCCCATAAATAATACCCTCTGCTTCTCCGTCCTTTAGGTTGATGTTTAGCCCTGATGATACTCAATCCCCAGCCCAGCAGAAATGTCTGAGATTTGTTTCTCATGAGAAAGCATTCTGAAACCCTCGCTATCTTACACGGTGTACCTTTTAAATTAGGAGCCATTTTGCCCTGGCAGCATTCATCTGTGTGTTGACAGGCCCCTGATTTGCCAAGTCCCCTCACTACCTTTTGAGAAAGGCATGAATATCAATAGTGTATTTTACGTGTGGGAGATAAGACAGAAGACAGCTTGGGGATGACCCCTGGCATATTCCAAATGGTTGTTTTCTAGCCTGAACTGAGCCATGGGAGACAATGTTAGGAGCAGCAAATAAATAGGCATCTCTGGGTGGGTTTTCATCGGTCAGCTTGATGGCAAATACATTGTGTTTTCTACCGCCTACCCTTCTCTGCTTTTGGTACATCACCAGCTGACATGATAAAAGGAGTTCACTGTGCAAGAAAAACTTTGATAAGCTGATTCTCAAGAGCGGAGCGCAGAGGGCACATGAAATCATGCTTTGTGTCATCACACAGCCTCTCTCCTGAACTTCCTGCTGTGTTGGAAGTCTCTTCCAACTCAATTATTCTATGATTCTATAATTCCACCATCTGGGGGGGTTCCTACCACAGGTGATGCAGTTTGTTAAGGTTACCAAGAATTTTCTGTGAAAGCATCTCAACTTTAATAAATTTCCACAGTGCCTCTTTGGGCAAAAATGTTCAGCCAATGTGGACGGCTGGCCTGGCCATTTGCTAAGGAAAAACAAGGACTCCTGTTGCCAAATGTCTCCAGTTTCTTGGCATGCAGGAGCATTTATAAGTCCCTGTAATTCTCAAGGGCAATTATTTCTGGTTACTGTTCAAATAAATTGACTCTGTAAACACCTGACAACAGTGGACTAACATTTAATCAGTCAGTTGGTCTAGTTTTTTCAGATACAACCTTTAAAATGTCAGTCCATTAGCAATTCTCCTTAGCCAAGGGAAAAAAACCTAGCAAATGACCACCTAAACAGGTTCTTGAAAAAGTACAGCGGTTGGATCCAAATTTAATCAAAGCGTAGTGTAGAATTAAGTAAGCTTTGCTTGAAACTAACTCTGAATTTGATGGCTCTACTCCAGGTATGTCTGAATCTGGGTCTAAACCTGATATGTACTGTTGACTGAAAAGAACACCGTCCAGAATTACAGGATAAGACTCATTAACACAATGATTATAGATGAAATAAAGCTTGTCGTTTTCTGAAGGAGCAGCTTCTGACTTTGGTGGCATTTCAGAGAAACTCCTTTATAAAAAGGCACTGAGAAGAGGTAGAAATTGAACCCTCAGAGGAAAAAAAGGTGGTGCCAACCAAGTTTTCATGACAGCAGAATTTTCAAGAACTCAAACCCTACAGAGATGAGGAAAAACTGATGGTGCACTACTGGCATATTTTGATAGGGCAAATTTGGACCTTTTTATGCCTTTGCTCCTGAAAGCTTGAGGGAAGGTATCAGAGAAGTGAGGAGAGTCTCAGCATCCCCAAGACAGGAGAAGGTGCTTTGCTGCGTGCTCCACCAAGTGAAGCCACGCTCGGTTCTTTCCGCTCGAATTGCTTTCATTAGATGTACGAGGGAAGCTTTTCTGCCGCCCACGGTTGCTCTGAAATTGTTTGAGGGAAACAAGCTGCCACACAACCATCCTGACCCGGCTACGGTTTCCACAGCTGTTGTTTTGAAGAAATAATAAACAACTAAAATGCTCCTGAAGTCTGAGTAATGGGAGACATTTGTGAAGACTCGCCTTCTGCTCCCTGGTAGGACTGGATTAAGACAGCAGAATGAAGGCCATCTTAAATGTCACGCTATTCAATTTTTTATCTAGAATGAGAGCCAACCAGACTTGACCTCAAGAGGGGACAGGGATATCTCCCAGAAGCTGAAATCCAGTAATAAGACACAACTGGAGTAGGCTCAATGAATCAGTGGGCGTTTGGTGGGTCATCTCGGTCATACGTTCTGTGGATTCAGTGGTTCTGCTCTAATTGTGACTTACTACTGGATCTCAGCCAGACGGTGTAAAGATGACCTTTTTGGTCTAGAATTACCATTGGCATCCTGGCTGGTGGATTTTAACAACTTTCCACAGTAATTTATCCAGCCTCACTGATCCTCCTGTGTACTGTTTTGTCATCTGGCTACAAATGGCTAAAAGAGAGTAGTCTTTTAGCCCTGTGGGCAACCCCTTCCTGTATATCAGCAAATAACACCATCTGCAAGTGGAGGGGGAATCCCGAGGTGTGGCGAAATGAGTTAAAAGAGAGCGCTCACTTCCAGTCTTCAGCAACCGCTTCTCTTCCTCCTTCAACTTGTTTTGCATCAGCCGCAAGGTATTTTCTGCTTCCTGCAGGGGAAGAGGAAAACACCGGAATCAGAAGGGTAACTCCATTATCCAGAATGACAGCTCCATTATCACCTAGTTGAGAAGGGACAGAGCAGGCACAAGCCAACTTGCTGTTAGGGTTAAGAACAAAGGCTTTTAAGCCAGCTCAGCTCTACCAAGTGGGACACCACGAAAGACAAAAGTAGGGATGTTCTATTTAACCAGATAGAGCCCCAGAGTAAGGAACAGTAGGAACTGTGCAGGCTCCTCTGTTCTTCTTCTTCCTAAAACAGTGATCATATCAGAAAACTCACACACTTAAATTGGTGGTGGGTTTTTTTTGTAGATAACTAGCTAGTTCAGTAAAAGAACATTTGCAGAAGATAACGCAACAGACCTAGAACAGAAAGTCTCAGCAGATCTCTCGGGGAGAATGGTCTGAAGTGACTCATGGTCATTCGGTCATTTCTGGCAGGGAGCCATTTAGGATATTAGATGTCATTCTTCCATCATTTGACCAAGTCCAACATCAGGCTTGGGCATTATTCGACAATCAGAGGCTTAAAGCCAGCCTCCCCCAGTATGGTGCCCTTCAGGTTTGTTGGGCTACAATACCCATGGTCAACATCCTTGCTGAGTGGAATGATGGAGGTTGTATTCCAATCCATCTGGAAGGCACCAGGTTTCAAAAGGTCAGCTATAAACCCTGCCACTCTTTTTTAACACCTCGCTAGTTTCAACCTGCTGTCCTGTTTCCCCCTTTGCAATCTCTTGTGTCTTGACTGTCTTGCGCTCTTCCAATGCCATCAACGCATTTCTAATTCTAAGCATCCCTTTTGCTTCAGCCGTGCCAGAGGAGAAGGCATCGGTTCTGTGCGATTATCTCGCCTTAACAGTTATGAGAAAAGCATGGTGTGCTGGGAAGGGGACAAGAAATGCCAACTTCCTACCTGCAGGGACTCAAAAAAAACAAAAAACCCTTGCTGGAACACAATGTCTTCAGTAGCAAAGAGCCTCGCTCTGAAAACCTCTGGCTGGGAGGGGAAAATCAACAGGGAAAGACACGAGATGCAAATATCGGGCAACAATAATCAGAAGAGGAAGCAACATTTGAATGAGTGGCATTAAAAGAAGCCCACCAAGGAATCATGCCATGTGAACAAAGTACTACTCAAAACAATGAATCCCCTTCTCAGTGGCCTCCGCTTAACAAGAATGTGATCAATCGAGGACATCTCTGAATAAATCACACATGCTCCCACTGTAACAGAAATTGGCTCAACAGCTCTTCAATTTATTTGCTTGTTTCTCTCTCAGGACCTGGGGAAAGTACACACTGTAACGAGGCAATAAAAACTCATTTGCTATTCTCCTGATCTATTACAGTTCCGTTGTACTCATTTACTTGGCTGGCTACTCGGATACCCAGCCTTTCTATGTGTCCGTCGGTGAGTCCGTGGTATGCAAACAACCATCAGCTTGCCTGCTTTGAAGATGTACGACAATAAAATTAACATTGATGGGGAAATTACAGCAACAGTTGAGGCTTCTCAGGACAAAGAAAGAGATCTTCACCAGCACAAGACATCATAATTATACTCAAGAAATGACAAGAGGAAGCTAAAGGAGGAGGAGGAATACTGCAAAAACTGGGACAATGGAAAAAGTTGCATTTTACTGTGCCTCACAGACAGGACTTCCACTATTTATTACATATTGGCCAAAACCCGGTTGCTTAGTGTACTAAATTGACTAGACTAGGCCCACTGAATCAATAGGGATTTTGAGGGTCAATTCCTCCCTATGTTTCATTGTTTCAAATGAGCCTCCTCTAATTGAACTGCTGCTGATTAATTATGCCAAAGTATGTCACAGTTAGAGTAGGCCCATTTGAATCAATGGATCTTATGGAGGAGACGATCCACAGAAATCCCCATTGATTCAATGGGTTTATTCTAGTATAATTTACTACACAAAGAAAGACCATTTATTGAGCAATCTGATCTGGCTGTTGTGATACATGCCCTAAATTACTTCTCGCCTGGATTACAGTGGTGCCCTGCATGACGACGATCACTACACAAAGAAAGACAGTTCATTGAGCAATCTGATCTGGCTGCTGTGATACATACCCTAAATTACTTCTCGGCTGGATTACAGTGGTGCCCTGCATGACGATAATCTGTTCCACAGAAATCGCTGTTTAGCGAAAACGTCGTCTTGTGAAAACCATTTCCCCACTGGAATGCATTGAAACCCGTTTAATGCGTTCCAATGGGGAAAAATTGTCGTCGTTCTGCGAAGATCGCCCATAGGGAAGCCATTTTGTGAAGCGCCGATCAGCTGTTAAAATGACCGCCCTCTGGTACACCCTCCCACAGGAGGCCAGACTGGCCCCCTGTTTGCTTTCCTTCAGCAAGCAGGCAAAGACCTTTCTCTTCAGGCAAGCCTTCCCTCAGTAACCAGCTACCTGTGTGTGATTTTTAGATAGATTGCTATGCATTACTGCTTTCACCGGATTGTTAGTACTATTCGTGTTTTCCTCACAGAGTGACTTTTTTTAAAAAAAAAATTGTATACTTATGGATCTTTGACTTAATATTGCCTGTTAATTGATGTAAGAGGCCTCCTTATTCATTGTTCATAATCTTTAAATAGCGCTTTTTAACAGTGTTAACCACTGTTATGTACTCATTGTTTTCAACTTTCAATATTGTCTCTCACTGTTGTAAGACGCCTTGGGTCCTTTTCAAGGAGAAAGGTGGGGTAAAAAAAAAATCAATCAATCAGTCTTGCCCATAGTCCTTTCGGAAGGCACTACAGTATGTCTAATCATGTCAGACATAACAAGAAACAGCATCCAGTGTCTGTATAGATTCCAGATACAGTTAAAATTGGGTGAAATGTGCTAAAAGCGTTGTGTTTTAATTCAGTTTTCTCTCACTTTTGCCAGCCCCACCTAGTGCCTGCTGGAAATGTACGCACAGAGGTCAGCCATAAATATGTTTGCATACTTGGTACCGTATGTGTTGACATAGCCACACTGTTAATCTACAGAGTCGTGCTATTGCCAAAGGTGAAATAGGCGAGTAAATTTCGAGATTTACTTTTGGATAAGCTTCCATGCACTGCAGCCCACTTTTAGCGGATGGACTAATATTGAGCAACCTGATTTCTTATAATACATCTTGCATTCAAAGCCGCTGGCCATTTTCTACGGGACACAGAACCTGGACCTGTTGGGGAGATGTCCTGATCAGAGGAAGGGGTGGAAACCTGGAGGTTATGGGGAAGAATCTTTATTTCTGGATCTGCTTTCATGGGCTCAGATACTGGCAAGGTAAGCTCCTCTGTGCAAAGAGCTTCCTAGTCTGCCCTAGCTGCCACTGGCATCTGTCCACTCTGTATATTAGATGAAGGGTGGCATCCTTTCTCAGCTAAATCTAATTTCTGGAAAAGGCGTGCATTCCAATGGTGAGCGGTGCCAAAGGCCAAAAAAAAAGGGAAATACCAGCCCATTTTAGCTTGCAATTTTTTATGGCCCATACTCAAATCTCAGGAGAGGCGTTTCCAACTTTTAGATTGGGGATAAAGCCGCTTAAAAGCCGGAGAGACAAAGTAGGTTCTTAACCTTATCCAACCTTGCACCCTCTAATTATAGTAATAGTAATTATGTGCTATCAAATCAATTCCGAATCATGACACTCCTTTACAGAGTTTTCTATGGAGACAACTCCCATCACTTCCCAGCTAGCAAACTTCGAACACATCTGAAGACGACAGGTTGGGTGTCCTCCAGAAGTCAAAATACACTTACACAGTGTGGCACAAAAAGCAGCCGCCCCTGTTTTTAGCTAGTTCACACTTCTACTCTCTCAATGTATCAAAGCACCAGCGCTGGCCACTCGGATATCATTTAGCCTTAACAAGGGCTAAAAGAGGCTGCCGTTGCAAAAGTACCTGAAAGTCAAGCACCACCAAAATTAATTAGAGCATCAGAGCAGCAGGCTGGGAGTGTCACCCCACGTTCTTCGCCAGTGTCATCGCTTCTCTGGTGATGGGCTCCTCAGCATCCTCGTATCCGAATGCTTCGTTAAGAGACCGTAATGAGGAGGAGAGATCCTCCCTTGAACTGTAGATTGTGTTAACAGCTGCCCAATGAATGGCAACTTGTACAGTGATAGGCAGCACGGGTACAGAAGCCAACGTTCTACGGGAACAATTTGTACACACAAGAATTTAATTGCAAGCGCATTATTGTGAACAGAAGCGCCATTCAAGGGACTTAATCATTTCAGGACTGATTGGGTTACGCGAGAGCATGAATTACAGTTCCCTTCCTTATGGAATGAGAATAGCAGCTTATTTTCACCTGTGCAGATGTTCAGGGAGTTGAAGGCAATAATACTGGGCCAGATTGGTATTTCTGGGCTGTTGCTGGCATCTGAAACAGAAAAACGCTCTGCTGGGTCTTTCGAGCCCAGCCGTCGTTTACGGGAGGGCGTCTTCCCTGCTATTTTCCTCCAACTCTTTATTCCAGGCTTCTGTCAAAATCTGGCCCTACATCAATCACTCCCCCCACCCCCAACAGCGATTCTCCTCCTCTTCAGGGTTGTAGCCAGGCCATTCCATTGAATCAGGACAGGTGGCGGGCAACTGACCTAACCTGGATGTTAGAAAGGACTTTTTAACTAGGTGGGTGCTGTGTTCTGTTAATTTTTAAAATACTTTCATTTATTTTATCCTTTAATTGTATGTAGACTGTTCCAAAGTTGTTTTGAGTCCTTAGCATGAGATTAGTCACATACAAACTGAATACAATGGTGCCTCGCTTAACGGCAATAAAAAACTGAATACAATGGTGCCTCGCTTGACGGCGATAATCTGTTCCAGGAACATCGGTATTAAGTGAAAACATTGTAAAGTGAAAAAAAAAACCATTGAAACGCATTGAAAACCCTTCAATGCATTTCGATGGGGTCAAAACTCACCGTCCAGCAAAGATCCTCCATAGGGTACCCATTTTCACTACCTTTCTTGTGAGGAATCCATTCCAGAAAACAGCAGGGAGCCATTTTGTTTACCTGGTGGCCATTTTGAAACCGCCGATCAGCTGTTTTAAAATCATTGTTTTGCGAAGAATTGGTTCCCAAAGCAGAGAACCGATCATCGCAAAGCGAAAAAACCCCATTTAGACCATTGTTTTGCGATTGCAATTGCGATCGCAAAAAGATGGTTGTAATGCGTTTTCGTCATAATGCGGGGCAATCACAAAGCGAGGCATGACTGTAAATAAATTCTAATTCCACCCCCAAATATGGTTTTCTAGTTATCTCTTCCAATTAATATTCAACATTCTGTAACTACTGAGTGAACGTGCTGATTATTTGGGGAGGGAGGTTCTTCATCTGTTTTTTTGACCCTTGAGGATTTTGTTTCAAAAAATACTTGTAATTCTGCAGACCTTGGGGTTCCCTGCAGCACATGTCTTCTTTCTTAGCCCTCCAGTGCCTTAGACACACTCGGCTCCTTTCTAGAGGTTATGCAAAGGCTGTTCACACTGTGTTGCAGGAAATCCTAGGGTTCCTTAGATGTTTTATCAGGGATGTGTTTTCATGAGAATATTAGTAATGATGGACAAGGTTCCCGGAAAAACAGTGTGTTTATCGCTGCTGGTCTTCCCATGAAATGCAAATGTGGAGTGCATTTTAAGGCATGTTCTCAGTTTGTATGAGGAGGGGTGAGGAACATGCAGCCCTCTGGCTCACTTTTGCAGTGAGCATCCCCCAGCATCCTTTCATTTAAAAAATATATATATTTTGGATCAAAAAGTCCCTCTTTAACTTCCAAGTATGTGTGGCGACATTTTGCCATATATTCTGGTGCTCCCATGAATCTTGGAGCCACCAATTTGGCAATGGGGGGGGGAATAGGGGGGAAGGGGTTCTAGTTTTTAACAAGTGGCAAAAAGAAGAAGAAGCAGAAACAGCAGCAGGAGGGACTGAATAAGTATGGACGCCAGTGAGCAGCTGGCAGTACGAGCCTTCTTTGAAGGGCATCGGGTGGCTTGGGACTGTTTGAAGCCCTGATACCACCGACTACGATCACCTGTCCCACGTGATGGGAACTTGGGGGTGGACAGAAGCAGGACTGTCGGGGGTGGTGGCTAGGGGTGGTAACTCAGTCCCACCCTCCACAGAGGGCTGGCAGGGCAGGGGGTGTCTGAAGTCCTCCCTTTTCTTGTACTCTATTTCCCAATGTTCATAAAATCAAGGATGAACAGTTCCAGGAGTTGGGAGTTTATAAAGACGATGGCCAAGGAGGTCCTGCGTCACTCTCCCGACCAATTTCCCAATCATAATGAAAGAGCAAATGGTACCTTTTCTTAAATTCATACACTCGTACCCCACTTAACGATTACCCTGTAATTGCGATCGCAAAACAATATTTTAATTGTTTTTTCCCGCTTTGCGACAATCAGTTCCCTGCTTCGGGAACCGATTCTTCGCATTATGACGATCAAAACAGCTGATCGTCGGGTTTTCAAAATGGCCGCCGGCTGCTCAAAATAGCTCCCCGCTGTTTTTAGGAGGCATTTTTCGCTTAACAGGCACCCGAAAATGGCTGCCGTATGGAGGATCTTTGCTGGACGATTAGGTATTTCACCCATTGGAACACATTAACCAGTTTTTATGCGTTTCAATGGTTTTTTAAAATTTCGTTTGATGATGTTTTCGCTCTACAGTGATTTCGCTGGAACGAATTAACGTCGTCAAGCGAGGCACCACTGTACTCTCGGTGGGGAAAGTCACGGAGCTCTCCAAGAGAAAATCACTTTTAATGCCACCATGTACATGTTCCAACTGAGAGGCCATAACATTGTTTTGGAATGCTAGCCTCTTAGATGGGGTGGTTATAAGATCTACATAATGATGAACAAAGTGATTCAATGCCAACAGGTTTTACTTTTGTTTAAAAAATGAGAGGGAGAGAGATTTTGGAAAATTAAAAAGCCGCAGGATACTACTCATAACACAACTTTTGTCTCCAGCTCCTTTAGATCTGCAGTGGGTGGTGTCCATTGGAGAAGATGACATTACAAGGGGCCTACAGGTCACCCGAAGTGCCACATTAATTAAAATGTTGTGCTCAGTCTTTCAGTTGCTTTTCTAATTAGGAAATGCAATCTACTAGATGTCATCAGTTGTGGAAACAACTGCAGGAAAGATTAACACTGCGTCTACAAAATGTGCCAGACATGAAGGCCCCATTACTCAATAATGATTAGATGAATGCACAATTTCATCTTTTAAATATCCACATGCTCACATTACAAAGGCTTCCAGAGAAGAAAACCTAAACCCACACAGCCACTTTCCTTTTTTTTCCTAGCAAGTTATGCAGAAAAATCTAGCAAAAAAGAGATACCACTTCTTCTGCACAAGATTTTCTATCAATCTGTTAACTGGGACAAAGGGGATATTGTTACTGGAAAATTCCTCCAAGATCCATTTGGCTACTGAGACATGACAAAGGTAGGAATCTAATTTTAGTTACTATTTTAATTTGTCAGTGTGAAAATGAAAGAAAATGACTAGAAAGCAGAGGAAGAACAAATGGCTTCCCCAAGCAAGCCAAGCGTAATCTGATACCAAATCAATGCAATCTTGCCAATGGTTTTGTGTTGGTCAGAAAGGATAGTCAGTTAAGCAGCACTGGAAGAGTGACCCAGGACTTTCAAGAACTCCCTGGGCTCCCATTTTATCCCCCTTCTGCAAAGAGAAGTCAGAAATAGAACTCTTACCCATGAAAGAGGCTAAACCCGCCCAGTTCTTCAAAGCCACCTTAGCCAATGACACAGAGCACACCCTCTGACAGTAGATTCCATTGACCACTATGATCGCTCAATGCTTCAGATCTCCGATTGAGAGTTCAATTGACAGGGGCCGAACTTGGTGATCCATACTGCCCCTTCCAGCTCTGCAGTTCTAAGATGATGATGATGATGAGTATGAGCTATGTCTCTCAGACACTTGAAAGTCTCAGTTCCAGTAATATAAACTAGAAAATCTGCTCAACCTCATCTCTGGTGATGGACATCCTTCAGTAACTTAGCTGGAAGTGGCTTTCATGGGCTGTGGGGCACCTCCGCTTGTGCAAATCAAGGGTGTAAGGAGAGCGGGCTTAGCCATTGGCCCTTTGACTCCCCCTCCCCGAAAGCCAAGTACTTTTTTGCTAACTGGCTTTATCTCTGGATGCTCTTCAAAGCAGGGGCGGCCGGGGCTAGTTCCCATCGGCAACTTGCCTCTAGAGTCTGCCTTTATTTTCATGACAGCTTCGGCAATGCTCCTAGAAAGGCCTTGGCCAACCTGCTTTGCCTCCACCCTTACACTGATGGGGGGGGCAGGGCGTAAGAGGAGTTGAGTGGCTGCCTGTCTTCTGCCCTAGTGAACCAGCTCATCGCTGTACCCTCTGCAAGGAAAGCAGCTGCTTCCCTTCTCTCTCTCACTCCTCCATGTGCTCGGTCCTTCTTGCTCGGCTGCTTCCCATCCCCAGATCCTCCCGAAGCAAAGGTGCCACCTGCTGCTAACCCCACAGAAAGTCGCTCTCGGGCTGTCTGCCTGACATCTCTCCTTGGATCCCGCAAACTCCTAGGCATCAGCTCCCTTAACCCCAGCCAGCCTTTGACACACTAATTGGCTCCTTTCCAGACACACGTCTGTGCCAGTAAAAGCATCATTAAGGCCCTTCCCTTTCTCCCGGAGCGCTGGGCCCTTGCACAACGTGAGTGGCGACTGCACTCTCAAACACAGTTGCAGCAGGTTTCACTTACTGTAATTGCTGCTTGTTCTTAGCAAATTAGGTGCCCGTTCCTTTGTAGGGAAGGTGGTCTCTTGGGAATGGGTGTGACACCAATCCAAGGTCAAGGTACCACGTGAGAGCCTGGTGTGGATGGCGAGGGACCTGCTCCAGAATGGCTAGCCTCCCTGGGTGGGCACAGCACAGAGGGCTTTCTCTTTGCATGTCATTCAGGGTTACGTACCACTGTGTTGGCTACACCGGCAAGGCTGGTCCAACAAGGAAGTTGAAAGAGAATAATGAATGGGTTGAACAGAAGCTTGCCTGGGAGAGGGAAGTGAAAAAGCTTAATGGCCAGATGGATGAGAAAGGATTCAAGGTCAGCTGGGTCTCCCTTCTGCTGTGCTATGGGGAGATGGTCATAGCCACTTTAGCTGAAGAACACAACGTGGGCAGGTTTTCAAAGCAGCGGGGGAGACCAACCTGCAGAAGGCAAGCACTGGCATATGAGATAATCATCCAGCTCTCACTATCAGTTACCTACACAATGCCCGTAGCATTTTTACAATGGTTTTTAAAATGTTGGCTGATGATGGATGTTTTTAAGATGAAAAATCAGTAAATATAAATAGCTCAGGCAGCTCAGATAAAAGTAAGAACAAGACAAGCAAGAACAAAGGATCAAACAGCAGTTTAATGCATTGATCTATATATTTTTCACAGAACTTAAATAGCCAGAATGAAGCTGTGGTCACATCATGATTGATTCTCCCCTCTTTTTCTTTTCGCTGCATCAATTTTACCCAGAGAGGTGAACTTTTAAAATCCTATTTACTTCATTTTTACCAGTCTTTGTCAGCCTCTTAGTTCCTTTCAAATGACTAAATTCTGAGAAGATGGATATCCATAGCTGGAGCATTCTAGACATGTCTACAAAAAAGTAAGGCTTTCTAATGTTAATGGGACTTGCTTTCAGGCCAATGTGCATAGGACCACAGTACGAAAGAATGAGACAACTAGAAATGGTTTCCATGGAAGACAAATAATTCTCTAAGTTTATAAAAAGGATAAAGCCTCTACGTTTAGAACAGCTATGTATGGACACCTGCATTGGGGTGCACTGGAAGACATGCACAGCTAGTGCTGCAATGAGGTTAAAACTGTAGAGAGCAGAAGTGTGGTGGAAACTGAGTGGTTTTGAAAAATCTCACCTCAAATCTTTCCTGCTCCATGCGATGCTGGTCATCTAGCTGTTGCTCCAAATAGGCAAGGTTACGAAACTTCTCTAGATAAGAGCTATACTGTTTTTGCAGTTCCTCCTCAATCTTTTCATATTCATCCATAAAGGCTGGGCTGGTGGAACAAAAGGAAAAAGAACAAAGAAAACTGTTATTCCTTCTTCTGTGACAAACTGGGCAAAGAATGTTATTTCTTAGTTTCACCTCAGTGCCCCTTCCCAAAGGTGATGACGACGACAACGACAACAACAACATGCTGTCATGTTAGTTCTGACTTTATGGCAACCTTTTTCAGGGTTTTCCAAGTAGCGAATACCCAGGAGAAATTTAACAATCCCTTCTTCTGGAGGCATCCCGGGACTGTGCAGCTTGCCCAAGGCCACCCAGGCTGGCTCTACTCAGAGGAGGCACAGTGGAGAATCGTATTCCCTCTAAACCACACAGCTATCCAGCTAGGGACACAAGGTGCCACCTCAACTGTCTGAACCAGGCTTTTAAGGGTGTTTGTAGATAGAGAAGCCCTTTGCAAATAGCGTGTCTACGTTTCCACTAGTTGGACAGCTGAACAAAGATGAGACGGCCAAGCGTGGGCAAAGGCCCAAGTCAGAGGGCTTTAAAAAAAAAACTAAAATTGAATATATTTCAGAAAATCAGTCTACCATGACACTGGGAAGTAACAAACACTTAATTCATGTATGGAACAACATGGGTGAAAACACAACCAGGCAGAGAATGGGATTTTTCCAGGCCTTAGAAATATGAAGTTGGTCCAGTTAAGTGGACAAACTTTAACATTCAGCTTGTTTCTTGCACAGGTTGCATAACTTTGAAGCCCATGGACTCATCTGGTCAGTAAGGTAGCATCCTGCACTAGAGATGGACATGAACCACCAAGGAGCTTTGTACTGGTTTGTTTTTCAGCCGAACAGGGGGTTCTGTGCTTCCCAGCCCTGCCTCTTCCAGCAGCCGCCCACTCCGAGGCAGCGCCCAGAGGAGGCGGGGCAGGGAAGCGCCAAACACTTCTTCAGCCAAAAAACAGACAAACAAAAAACAAATTGGCACAAGCTGCTGCTTTAGCGGTTCATGCCCATCTCTATTCTGCATTATTAAAACAAATGATAGCTAATTACTTTCTTTTATTTCAAACAACTACCATTCCAAGCACCGCAGGAACCAGCAAACAAGAAAATTTCTAGGTGCCTAATCCGCAAAGATTCAGTTGACCATGCATAAACCTCTAGGGAAAAGCCTGATTTTTAATGAATTATAGTTCAGGAAGTTCTCGTATGAGGAATTTATTAGCCATTTTCCCCTAGAGGCAATGGAAGATTGCTATAATATTCACTCAGCAAGACAAATACAGTTCTCTTCTGTGACACATTATAAGAATATGGTGTGTTTTTTTTTTAATCAGCAGTGCTCTTCTTCATTCTACATCAGGTAATAAGCCAGTGTCTAGAGGAAAAAATGAAAGGGCATGAACTGGATATCAGAAATGGCATGATTCAAAGAGCCAAGGGAAAACACTTCAGTCTCCGAGAGGGCACTCAATCACAATCTTAGCTGGCCGCCTTGGGACACATAAATCTCAAACAGAGATGAAAGCAAGAGCCTGTTCATCTACAATTTATCACCAGGTTGCAGTTTATTTTCAGAGGCAATAATTGGGCTAAAATCAGAGGTGGTGCAGTCCTTGAGATCACAAAGGAGGACTGCCGCTCCATCAGGACAGTCAGTGGTGAGAAATGATAGGAACAGCAACGGGCGGTGCGACGGGTGGGAGGCAGTCTGCAGCCTGGCCACTCCTATGCTACAATTGGTAACAGACTTCCCTAACGCCAGAATGTTTACGCTGAACTCACAAAACAATGGTTTTGAGAACGGCCAGTGTTAACAACGATATTTTCTATGAACTGCTGGAGAGCTGAGTGGTTTAGGCCTCTGGAGAAATTGGTTGTTCAGTTCCCCACTGTGACTCCTTGAGAGGAGCTGGACTTGATGATTCATCATTCTAAAATGATGATGATGATGATATACCTGTCTCCAGCCTCACCATTTACTCCTCTCAAGCCCATCACACCATGTGTTGTACATACGCCTAAAACCTAGATAATGCTCCACGTATCTGATAAAGTGCATTATATTTCACAAACAATTATGCCAAAATGAGTCTGTTAAGGCCTCTTATGCCACATTAAATGTCCAAGAGAATCCCAGCTTTTGCTCTGTTTTTGCTCTGCGTCATCACGGTTGTGGAAGTGCACTTCACAAGATGATGCCAAAGAAATGTTGGAGGCCCAGGGAAAAAAAGGAAGCCAGAGAAAATAAGTCCCCAGTCTTCATTATTTTTTCAGCTCTTATGGGAGTGGAAGACTGGTGGGAAGACTGTAAAAGAGAATATTTGTGTATATTTTTCTCATAAATGACAAAATGGGCCGGCAATCTCCAACACAGACTCATTAGCAAAGATTCAAACCTCAGAGATTGCATCTTTGTTTAATTATTGGGGGATGGGTGGTTTTAAAGCTGAATCATCAAAAAAAGGGCTCTAGCACCAGAAGGTCAGTTATGTAAGATCTAATGGCTGGGCAAATTAGGTAAGAACATAAGTGGACTTCTATGGTGTGCATTCGCAGAAGAGAGAAAGGCTGCGCCTGTAGCATTTTTGGACCACATTTTTTAACAGGTTCAGTGGCGGCTATTCTTCCACTAGTGCAGTAAGTATGAAGCACATACATCTGCTCAAAGAGTTGGGACAGAACAACATGATGAGTTCTTACCCATCCAGCTTTCAACTATCCAGTTCCTCCTTTTCCCAGCTGGCCCACAGAAAGGCTTCTGTGAGACCATCATACCCAGCAGAAATGGGAGAAGCGGATTAAAGCTGTACTCGTAATGCAGGATGCAAAAAGAGGAGAAGGGAGGGGGGAACAGGAGAGAAGGAAAATAACAAGGAGAAGGTCAGTATGGATTAAGTGAGCCTGGAAAGAGTACGGTCTTAACATGCAAACCTAGGGATAATTAGATTCCTCAGCAGGCAAACTCTATTGATCCTTACCGAACACTCTGTAGTGTCTGAAGGCGCTTCTGATTCCTTTCAAGCTCTGCTTTTCTCTTTTCAATCTTGGCCTCCAAGCTGGCTTCATCTGACGCCACATTATTCAGCATGTCTTTGGTTTTTTGGACCTGCTCCTACAAGAAACAGAATTAGCTGCAATTTCTGACAGCTCACCAAATGCCAGTTTACGCTCCAAACTCCCTGTCGAAGTGCAGGGCTCTGCATGTTGAGGGCAAGTGGGTAGGGAATGCCGAACAACTAGTACTAATATATGGCTTCCACCACAATCTGGTTGATTTTAATTAAAACACTTCAAGCAAATGTAAGGAGTTCAAAGAAGCAAAATCTCTTTAGTGAAAATCTAAAAAAAGGATAGTATCAAAACTCAGCCGAAGATCTGCATACAAAACTGAAGAAATGATTGTTTTCACAGTGAGTTTCAATGAACTTCCAAGCCTCTGCAAACATTTCTGATTTGTAACTGTAGGAATTTCTTCAGAAGGATCACTTATCTGAGAAAATGCAAAATTCTTGTACAACCACTTCTCCTATAAATTGCATGGGAAGAATGCCAAAGAACGTGCGACGCAGGACCCAAGTACTCCTGACTTCTGTCTTTAAAAGCTTTTAATTAGCAAAGAAGGAACACTTTGACATTCAAGCACCAATGGGATTTGCTGTATTTGTTTGCTGTGTTAGACGAATTAGCTAACTGAGTAGGTTTGCGATATGGCTATATTTCCCACGAAATGAAGTGCTGTAATACTACAGCTCCTTCAAGCTGCTGTTTGGAATATCAGCAGATGTTAAAATATAGTTTGGGTTTGCAAGATTTCTTCTCCGGACTGGACAGGAAAATCAAAGCTTAGTGGCAACATATTTTGATGTATAATAATTAAATAATGGTGGTGACAGCAGCCACGAAAGCGATGACAAACCTAGACAGCATCTTAAAAAGCAGAAACATCACCTTGCCGACAAAGGTCCGCATAGTCAAAGCTATGGTTTTTCCAGTAGCAGTGTATGGAAGTGAGAGCTGGACCATAAAGAGGGTTGACCGCCGAAGAATGGATGCTTTTGAATTGTGGTGCTGGAGGAGGCTCTTGAGAGTCCCCTGTTTCGACACCTTAAAGACTAACAGATCCATTATAATGGAGGCTTTTGCAGATCGAAATCCGCATCTTAAGGACTTTGAATCATGAAAACTCATATTGAAAGAAATCTGACCGTCTTCAAGGAGCTGCAATATCCCCATTAGCTGGCTGAACAACTCAGAGGTTTCGGTATCTGGTGGCAGAGTCAGAGGCTGGAAGTTCAATTCCCCCACTGGGCATCCTACAAACAGAGCCAGCCTAGGTATCCTTGGTCAAGCTGTACAGTCCCAGAGCATCCCCAGAAGAAGGGAAGGGCAAACCACTTCTGAATATTCTATGCCTGGAGTACCCTGAAAAGGGTTTCCAGAAGTCAGAATTGACTTGAAGGTAGATGATTATTATAACTTTCCCCCTTAATTTTGCCAACTAGTCTGGAAGAACATTCGCAGAACTTTATGTCTACAGAAAGTGAACCTGGATGTAGTAGTAAAAGCTACATAAGTTTAACCACCTATAAAGCAAAGTGAGGGAGCTGAATTTAACAGCAAATGGGATAAATGGGTATAGAAGACATTATCCTTTCTAATCCCCTGTTCTATCATTTCTGTTGATTGCTGCCACACAGATTCCTTTCCCCTCTCCAGGTTTCGATAGCAGAAATGAGCTGGCCTGCAACGAAAGTGCCTGGTCATATGAAGCTAAGGGGAGAAGGGGCTCCATCGCCACATTCAGGTACCCATTCTGATGTTAAAAACTGACACCACTCCCCATCATCCTGATTTATGAAGACAACACAGCTTTGAACAAAGACAGCTGCCATCTGCAGAACAGCTCTTTAAAGGTTTATCCCAGGCTTGTCAAAGAATTTGGTTCCACTGGAAGCATGTGACAAATGTACACCAAGAAACATTCATGGGAGAACTGTTTTGTCAGAGGATCGACTCCAAAAAGCACCAACTTATTTTTAAAAAACTCTCCAAGAGCCCATAAAGAATAAGAATGCTAAATAGGAAGACCCATTCTCCGGGAAGGCATGGGCTATAAAAGACTACCATTCTTACCAGAATGTTTTTGATGGCAACCTTCAACACCTTCTCAGTCTCATTTATCTCCAGAGGTCTGGCAATCGCTTCCGCCCTCAATTCCTAAAAGACAAAAAACCACAAAGTCGTCAAAGACTGAGCCTCTAATTAATATGCACTTGAAGACAGGCAGTTGAGCTGCTTTGAACAAAAGGATCTGCATCATAAATGGAATGTGGTCTAATATTTATGCAGCCTGGCTGAGTGACCATCACAGAATGGGACTCCCATCAAGAAGGCTAACAAAAGCCCAGTGTTCAATGTTTCCGCAGTTTCAACAGAGCATACTTTCAAGGAAGCAAGTCTCACTGGATGTGATGAGGTTTATTTAGGAGTGGGAGAAAAGCCCGGCTGGATCAAACCAAGGTCTGACCGAATGCAGCATTCGATTCCCAAAGAGGCCAACCAGACGCCTGTGAGAACCCCACATGTGGAACACACACGCCCCACTAAGACTTGGAGCGCCTCCAAACTGACATCTCAGTCCACATTGGGGGGAAAAATGAGGCCATGGTAAGAAGTGGGGAATACACATTATAAAATTAGTATTTTCCCGTGTATAAGACCCCTCCTGTATAAGATGACCCCCAACTTTGACCCTTGCAGCCGCCATGCTCGGCCACCCTTCGCGGCTGACCATGGACTGCAGCTGCGCCCGATCACCTCCTCCAGTGCCATTCGCGGGCTCCCTTCGGGCAGGGTAAAGGCGGTAGTGCGAGCTTGAGGTGAGCCCCGTGAGTGGTGCTGGAGGAGGTGACCGGGTGGCCACGGCCGCAGTCAATGGGGTGGCTGAGGACGGCTGCTCCTTTGCCTCCGCCTGCTGCTTCGGCGTACTTCCGTGTATAAGACGAAACTCAATTTTCGCAGTAACTATTTTGGGAAAAAGTATTGTCTTATAAAGGGAAAAATATGGTAAGTCTTGTATCAGTTGCAGATGAGGACTCCTGGGTCTGATTTGGATAATTTTATCTTGACTTTTTGCGTTCAGATGCTTTGTCCAAGCAGCCAACTCCTTCGATTATTTTCTTTCGAGCCCACAGCAATTAAACCAAGAAGATTCACATTAAATCACAGTTTCTTGTTATGTGTGAACCACAGAAGTAGATTATCAGTTTTAGAATAAGTCAGAATCTTAAATCCACTGCAAAGCACAGCTTCAACTCTGGCTTGTCCCGAAGATCGATAACCAGTAATTGCCCAATATAGGCAAAAAGAGAAACTATGGTTAATTAGAGCAGATGTGTAGCTGAGAACATCCTGGCTTGATTGTTTTGCCTTGAAAAGGGAGGAGCAAAGGGGCTGCATACTGTATATAGGCTGAAGAATTATGCACACCTCAGCTTAACAATATAATTTATGATTGTCAAAATATTGCCTTGGATAAGGTAGAAGGGGACAAGACAAATTCATGGAAGAGAGATCTATCAATGGCCATGACAGCTAGATAGAAACTCTAGATTCAAAGCCAGTTCAGCTCAGAATACAAGGACACACATGGAAATAGCAGGGAAGAAATCACTTTGAGACCCTTTCTATGAGATTCTTGAAAGTATCGAGCTGACAACTAAAGCAAACAGGATATGGGACTAAACAAACTTTTAATTCTCCATGGGCTGAAATCTGATTTTAATTTTAATTGGATTAATCATAAAAAAATTTGTTCATGATCCCATCAGTTAAATATGCCTTTGGGTAAAAATAAATATTTCCAGAGCAAGAAACATGTTCTCTTTGTTTTTAAATCATACACACAGGTCTTAGCACACACAACCATTTTAGAAGAGGAATTTTCTCTGTGTGTGAGAGAAAGGAGAATCCTCAGCATTCTGTGAGCTTAATAAAATCTTGCAGTCAAAATTAATATATCTATTTTAAAAAGTTATGCTTTTAACCAATCACGGTGCTTTTTCAACCGGTAAAAGATTGTTAATTAATTAAACATCTCTAAATCATAATTTTGAACGTGCACCTGTCTAGTTCTACTGGCTCTGTGACTGGATTTACTACTGAATGTATTCAGCTCAAATTATTATGGCTATATGATTAGCCCTTCCCCAATCCAGCTAAGTGGATTTCAGCAAAATGCTGTTGGTCAAAGCAATGCCTGCAGCCTCATTATTCATCACGAGTGTTCAAAGCTGGTTTCACATAAAGCATCCAATTCAGTTTCAAGAAGGGATATGCTGGATGAAGGGACTTCAGAGGTGAGGCCAAGGAAAGCAGCCACTCAGTACAGCTTGTGTTCTGAAGTGATTAATAGAGCTAAGCACAAAGACAGAGGAGTTGTGAGAAGATATTCCTAGCCCACAAATACATTGATTTGGATTCCTGCACTGAGCGGCAGGGCAGGACTCGATGGCCTGACGGGCTCCTTCCAACTCAATTATTCTACGATTCTGTGTAATAAATTTAGAAAGGGAAGTCTATTTTGTGCTCAGCAGGCTAAAGGAAAAAAATGGGTACCCACTCCAACAAAAGGATTTAATCCTTATAAAATTACAAAACAATGAAATCACCTCTGAGCAACACAAGAAATACAGAAGGTGAATCATTTTAGGGAAGCAGATACTGTTCTACAACTGAGATTTTTGAGCAGCAGCAAAAAATTTAATTATGTATTTTGCACTTGTAATACAACTTCACCTGCAATGCAACTTAACTTTTCCCCCCAGCTGTTTAAAACACCCAAGTGCTGGCGTGGTGGCATGGCAAAAATGGGAGAGTCAGTAGATGAGTGACGGCACCGCATACTTCACATACTCAGAAGGGTCCTCCAGTTCAATCCCCAGCATCTTCAAGTAAAGCATGGAATGACTTCTACTTGAAATGCTGGAGAACGACCAGCAGTCAGCATCAACGATCCACTTCTTCCTTTACCTTTGTTTGCCCATTTATTAGAGTTAAAACCTGCCTTTTCTCCAGTGAACTCAGGGTGACTTACATGGCTTTTTTCTTCCCTATTTTTATCTTCACAACAAACCTGTGTCTAACTAGATTAGATTGAGACATATGACCAATGACTCGACAGTAGAGATGGGCACAAACTGCTGGTTCGTTGTGGTTCGCTTCCCAGCCAAGCAGCTGATCCACAGAATGAAGTGCTCAGCAACAGAATGTTTATCAGATGACTAATTGTATAAGCAGGAATTGTAAAAGCAAGTGAGGAAGAAGAGAAAGAGGCTAAAAGGTCAGTGGTTACGCAGGCAGTACTTGGAAAAAGGCAATGTCAAGAGGTGTAGGTGGCTCACACAGACATCTGAGGAAAAAGGCAGAGGAGGGAAAAGGAAATTGTGCAAACCATCACACAGATTCTAAGGGCAAAAAAGGCTGCATGATAACTGGTGAGAGGTGAAAAACCCCGACGCATGTGGGGAGATGTTTTTGGAAAGAGGAAGGGTGAAAGCAGCCTCTTTGGCTCCAGCTTTTCTCCTGCAGAGAACAGCATCTTGCTTGGGCTGATCCGTTGTTTCCTTTCTTCATTTTAAACATGCAGAGAAGAATCAAGGCAAGCACTTCTAATTACATGCATTTGGCCTCCCTGGTAGGTAATTAAATGATGACAGGAGCCACTGGGACATTGTATTCAAATTCCCCCCTCCCCCCCTCCCCCCCCAGAATTACAGAATTGGCATTGAAGTGACAGAGAGACTTAATTAATGGAGCAGTTGCCAATCTCTCTTCTAAAAGGCTTGCTGGGGGCTTTTAAGTATTTTTACAAAAATGTTTTTCACACCACCTTCTGCAAGTCAGAAAAGAGAACTGATACAGCTTCTTGTACACTTAAGTAAGAGCAGATACTGTACATACAGTATACTATATGTATTTGTCTGAGAATTCAATTGTATCATCACAAAGAGCTATAACATTGGTTCTTTGTGAAGGCCCGGAATGGTCCATAGCTTTGACAAGGATCTGGAAAGCTAACTGTAACAGAATCAACAGTTACTATTGTGACTACAGTATTGTATCTACTATTCTAGATATTGCTTCCTGCTGCCAGAGTATGGCAACAATAGTAGATCTTACCGTGTCGTCCCTGTCTGCATGCATATAACCCCAAACAGACAACACAAAAATAAAGTCAACAGGTAAAGAGGAATTAAAAGAAATAATCTCAGGGATAAATTGTTAAAGTAACATAGCAGTTCCTCCAAGGATTCAGTCGGCATGGATGCTGTCATATGCCAGGATTCCAAGGAAGCTGATATATGATAACATGGCCCTGCTCTCCATCTTCCTTTGCTGGAGGATGATGGCTGTAAATCCGAGTCTCTAAAGTATCACAAGACTCTTTGTGTTTGCTGCATGAGACTAACGAAGTTACAGTTCTGGAATTAGCTCCCTGATAAGTGGATGACAGGAGCCACTGGGACTTTGTCAGGGACAATGAAGCACTAGGATTGGAACAAGGGGAACCAAGAGGCCGTCCCCAGCTCAGTCCTGATGCTGCATTATATACACATCCGTACCACACTAAGCTAGTTCACTGGTTTAAGGTACAGTATTGGATGCCGGGAGCTCGATTTCCCCCACTGGACCTCCACGGAGAACAGCCAGCCTGGGTGGCTTTGGGCGGTTAAGAACCACTGGTTTAAGGTACAGTATTGGATGCCAAGACGGAGGCTGGGAGTTTGATTTCCCCCACTGGACCTCCAGGGAGAAGAGCCAGCCTGGGTGGCTTTGGGCCAGCTGCACAGGAGTCCCAGGGCGCCCCTAGTGGAAGGGAATAGGGAAACCATTTCTGAGTTTTCGCTACCTTGAAAACCCTGAAAAGGTCACCCTAAAGTTGGAATTGACTTGATGGCACATGCGCGTGCATGCACGCATGCACACACATACCAGTTTACATTTGCAGTGACACACCAATGCGTTTTCAGCATGTAACTAAAGAATTAGCCAAAAGGCTCTTCAGACTGCACAAGAGTTATTCCTCTACCCCATTAAAATGTGTTTTTTTAAAGAAAGCATCCACCAGACTTTGCCAAGGATATTTCACTTAAAAAAATGCACAATGCTACCATGGAACATATTTCAGATGTTTAGTTTTGGCACCTGCTGTGTGT